CCCCCCCCCCCCCCCCGCCCGAATACATCCCCTCACATCACCCTTCTCTTCCCTTCACGTACTAAGGTTTTCAAATGTGACGCCGTCAGTTGTACTTTAGGGAGAAAGTTCTGGAGTTCTGCCAAGAGCGTCTACACGAAACTCTTTGACGGCCGTCAAGGCTGGGTTACTGGTCAACCCTCAGGGTGGTCCTCGTGACTTGCAACTAAAGAAAACTCAATTTGCTAGGCCATCCTCTAAGGTTCCAAATAGGGTCCACTGCAAGGTCTAGGCTACAAGGCTCGCAACTCTGGTTGTGCATTAGAATCCCTGAAGATCCAAAACAAAGCACGGAAGCCAGGCCCCACTCCAAGCCTCCCGAATATGAATCTCTGAAGATAGGGCCCTTGCACTGATATTAAAAAAAAAAAAAAAAAAAAAAAAAAAAACCCGCGAAAAAAATATAGGGGGCAGCCATGGTTGAGAACTTGTGTGCTAGAATTATCCAGCTCTGCTGAACTGTCATCCCCCCCCCCGCCCCCAACCTGGAACAAATATGTTTATAAGATGTTAAACGTGTTAAAAAGATGTGAAATTGGATGCACTCAGCCGTTTCAACCTGATTTAGGCCAGGCTGGCTGCAGATAGTTGGCCTTGCGTTAGATGGTTTCTGGGCTTCGTGGCATGCACTTTCCCCCACTCAGCATAGGCATAGTACTTCTAGAAACACGGAAGCGTTTCAATGAATGGACTCATTTCCCAGGACCTCTAGTAAGGTCAGGATTGTTCCCCACGTCTTGCAAACAAAAATTAGAACCATAGGTCAGTGACTTACTCCTATCCACTGAATAAAAAAGTCCAACCAAGTAACTACAACCCTAGCAACATTTTGGTCTTGGCAAATCTCCACTTGCTTATATTTAAGCAGGTCCAAGTAAAAGGTTTGCAGTCAAGACTACAAGACCCTTTTGGGGAAAACCCAACAATCTGTGGATCGACGTAGGCCTCGGATGGAGGACTCTGGTTATTTTTCCTCCTTGATTTCTTATTAAGTTGCCGAAAGCTTCCTGGAAAACCATTAATGACAACATAGCCTTGACGTTAATTAAGACCGGGGGCGGGGGGGGGGGTCCCTAAACAGCCAGGGTGGCTATTTTCATGAATCATATCAGGGTTTTTCCGGTAGTTTCTTTCCTCCAAAATTAAACAAGTAAGCGACATAAGAGATAAACAAGGCTTTATAAAGACCCAACCAAAGAGCCGGCCAGCCTATCCATCTCTGCAAATACCCAACACACACACAAGCCTCACCTTTATAGGCTTGACTGGTCATTACTGAGAGAACTCCACCGAATAAAACTTCTGCCGGTTCTGGGCGCGGGCACATATGCACATCTCCAGCCTGGCAAGCTGCTCTCTGCACTCTGACACAACACCCACGACACAATGACCTCCCATCCAGGGGCTCTCTAAAAAAGCGGTTTCTCTGGCTGTGGCTCGTAGGTCTTCTTAAGTCCTTCACTAGCCTAGGTAATTCTGAGCCTCATGGGGTTAGATATGTGGTTTAGCTTGTTTTTCAAGCTTACAAATCCCACGGGTGCCCCTGATAAAGTCAAAATGGACTTTAGGGTAGACAGAAAGGAAAGGGGGGGGGGGGAATAAAAAGCATCTAATTATATCGAACCATATGAAACTGCCATTTGTTTTTTTCTTTTTAACGGTTCAATATCAGCAATTTCATATGGCTCAACCTAGTAATAATTTTTGCCTGGTTTACACAAACTATCACAAACTATGTTGTCTGCCACAATAAGAAAAATGCCCACATTTTATGAAAGCATTTTTTTTTTTAATAAATCGGGTTTTCAAATAACCTAAATTTCAAACCACGCTCACGCATTCAGCTGGTGCAAGCCTCCCCGGATACCAAGAGGGCGACCCTTCTTTACATGGCACTCAAGTGTCAAGACATCCGGAGACTTAACCTTCCAGTAGACAGAACCTTCCACCGGACTGAATAATGCTTAATTTTCTAGGGACTTGCCTCTAATTTCTCACGTGGCCGCTGAAATCTGCATTCGTTGGCTCAAGGTTTGGAATTCTACTCGGGTCCTTAGAACAGTATCCTGTATTTCGTTTTTGCAGTTAATTTTGTTCGCAGTGTGATTCCCACCCCCGCCCCCCAATACTAGCCTACTGTCTCCTAGGCTTCTTTTTGCTTTCTTGTCCCCAGATAAAAGCATCCCAACCAATTTTGGTGTTGTTCCTAAACCCACAGTAGGCATCTCGGCCCTCGGAATCATTTGCCAGGCAGACAGCTTGTACGGTGGCCCTGAAGAATTGACTGATTTTTTTCGCCATCAGTTTCTAACCAGTTCCTGCTGTTCCCAGATTACTGTGAAAAACCCAACAGTGTAACACGATTTTTGCCTTTGGTTTTGCTTTTGGTAGCTTCTTCTGGATGGAGGCTTCCAGAGAAGGAATTCTAATTCTTTCCCCATGTCGAAATGTTCACGGATAGATTTCCATTCCTTCAGCCTAGAGGAAACCCGGGTTGCAAAGAGTCCAGAAGCCTGACGTGAGGTCGCAGTCCCACAGCCCTCGGCGCCTGCGGCAATTGCTTCTTCGTGAGTTCCGTCCCATTTACCACCGGCTTCCCGTCATCCGTGGAGGTCCGGTCTCAGCTGCCTTCCTTCTCGATCGTTCTTCTAGCCTGCCCTCCTCCACCTTGCTATTCCTGCAGCCAGCCAGGCTTGCACTGCTGTGTACGGATCTGAAGCCTCTCCTGGGGGGACTCCAACCCCCCCCCCACCCGCCCCACACCTTGTTCAGATACTGCAGGTGAATGAGTTAGACCATTAAAGCATGCTATTTGTTTGTTTGTTTGTTTAACTCCGAACAGCACACTACTATGTGAAAAAGTGGGAATCGGTCTGCATCTGTCTTGATTTAGAGACACTTTAGCCCCACCATCTTGGGTTAAATTGTAAAGGTTATTAAGATAGCTTCAGACCCCAATAAAACAGAAGCGTTAGTTCCACTCAGTCAGTGCCCCGCCTCAAACAACCCTGGGGCTTGCAGCCGTCCTCACCCTGCCGGTGGGCCGCCCCCCCCCCTGTCGCTGCAGGCTCTGGGGTGGGGGGAGGGGGGAGTCACGCACTGTCCTCCAGGGGGAACACTAGGCGCGTGCCCCGGCTCGAAACCGGCTGGTCTCCCATCCCCAGGGCTCGGTCCAGCACCTCCTCGGAGCTGCTCTTGGTTCTCCGACTGCCCTCAAGGCTCGTGGAGGCCGTGTGGGAGCCTGAGGAGCCGTTTGCAGTCACTGTGCTGTCCCCGTAGGTCAAGGTGAGGTCGCCCTCGGTCAGGATGAAGTCGGAGTCTTCCTCTCTCAGCGGCTCTTGGTTCTGAAAAGGGCAACGAACGACAACGACAAATGGGAGACCGGCATCTTCCGAGGGCTGGGGCCAACCCCCGACCTCAGCTCCTCGTCTGAAAACCCGGGCCCATGAAACTTGCCTGCCTGGAGCCTCTGGTGTGCATGAAGGTTGCAAACTGTAGCGTGCTATTCAAGGCAAGGTGCTGCTGCCGGAAACCAAGCCTTTGAACCCCAGGAAGCAGTTCTGATTTCAAATGCCTGACAGCTGAGGTTAGTGACACACGGGGAGAAAGGGAGGCCAGCTGGGGCTTTCAGGTTCCCGGCCCACAAGGGAAGGCAGGGCAAGGTCACTGGGTGAACTTACAGATAGGTTTCAGGGCCCCCCTTCCCTGGGCAGGAGGCCCCATAAACCACCCTGAACCCACCTGATTTACATCTGAGCCGCTCTTTGTCCCAGTGAGCGGTTGAGGGAAGGGGTCAAAGCATAATTACGATATCCTTCCTGTCCCCACAGAAAACCCCCCTGATGGGAAATATCCTGTCCGCACAGAAAACCCCCCTGATGGGAAGCCCGGTGGCACAGATGCGGCGGGGCATCCAGAAGGAGGGTCTGTTTTCTCAAACAATCTGTTCTATGCCTGCCGGGAAGGTCAGGGAAGGGCTCTCTTGATCCTTACCCCTCCCTGCCTGTGAAGGGCGGGAACACTCCTGTCACAGAGAAGAAAGCCTGGGCTAAGACAACCTCGGAAATGTGCCCGAGGTTTCCCCAGCTGGCGGGAAGCAGAGTTAGGATTTATGCTGGTCGGACCCAGGTAAAGGATGTGAAAAAATCACCCCATCGGGAGGAGGATGGACAAAAGCCACAGTGAGAATAAAAAAAAAAAACCAGGCAAGGCGGAGCAAGGCAGGCGTTCGTTCTAGCCAGAGTGGCAGCCTCCGCAAATGACCAGACCGTGGGGGAGAGCTCAGGAAGCAGCCCGGGGTCAGACACAAACCTTTCACCCTCTAATGGGTTTAACCAGCAAAACAAGGGGCAGTTCGCTCCCCTGCCGTCCCCACTGCACACAGGGTCAAACGCTGCGAGCGCCTCTCTTGAATGGCAAACACGGTTTCAAAATGCGCCGGCACACGGCTCTTGCTCTCCTATCTGCCGTCTGTTCTTCAAAAGGCACCTGCATCCTCTACGTGTCAGGGTGTCCTCGGGACAGGACGCGGGAACCTGCCTCCCTGACAGCCTCCTGCTCCCTCCTCCCCTGTCCGCACCAGTCACGCTGCTGCCCAAGGCCACAGGGCAGATTCCCCCCAACCATGCCTCAACTCCCATCTAGGTGAGAAACCGGCACAGCACGTGACTGCATCCTCTTGGCACCCTTCCTCGAGATGCTTAAGTCCCAGGAGGTGCCAGAGGAGTACCTCTTCAATGCCCCGGCCTAGGAAGGGCTTCTGGGTCTGCCTAGCTCCTTCTCCCGTCCCAGCCTGTCTGGGTACACTCGCTGGGAACAAGCTCGAGCTTGTTTTCTGCGCTGCTTCTCAGTGATGACGGCTGCTCCGCGCTTCACAACATGACTCCACTTAGCCAGTGCTCCCCGGCTTTTTTGGATAGGCAAGCCCGCGCCTCCTCTCGCTTGCTGCCTCAAACCCTGGCGGAATGAGGCAGGGCGCACACGTGCAACTAAATAACAATCCTGCACTCAGGCAGCGCGTTCATTCCAAAACTCACTCCAAACTCCCCAGATTCCTACTCTCCACCAGTGTTGAGAAAGGCCTGAAATTCGATCTGTCCCGTGATGGTTTTCTTAACAACAAATGAGATCACGTTCCCTGGTTTAGCGTTACCCATGTCTCTCTTCGCAGGCGGTGTCTGCAAATGGGGCCACGCCCTCTACAGCAGCGCAGAGGAGGCCCCCAGACACCAGCCCCTGGGTGACCCTCGCTGACCCCTGGCAGGGGAAAGCAGGGCTGAAATTCACCGGCAGGAGGAATCGGGACTGGATGTTGACCCGTTCGTTGACCCGTTCCATTACGAAACTCACAAGCCCGGACAAAGAGTACCCAAGGAAAGGTCATTCCGAAACAAGGACCTAGTAAAACCCAGTGGAGAGGGATTTCCAAGTCAGAGCCTCCAATTCTAGATGACAAGATCAACAAAAGTTTTGTTAAGCTGGAGGCTTGTAATAATTATGTAACGGGCTGTCCACTGAAGGCTGCTAGGAAAATGCTGTGGAATAACCTTGCAAACGCGCGTGTTGCAGGAACGTGGGCGTTTGAAATAACCAGAAGTCACACTTTCCTGAATGGAAGAACACGGTTTCCTAGGTGCATGCAAACAGTGAATAATGAACATCTTCAAGATCTCCCAAATAAACCGGAAGTCCAAACGAGAGCCGCCCAGCCCAAGACCCTCACCAGGCTCAAAAGCCTGCAGGGAGCCCCTCCACTCTCTCACCTGTGGCTTCCTCAATGAATTTTTCAAAGACCCTTTGCTCCTCCTCCCTCAACAAGAGCAACCCTCACCGTGTCTGGAGCAGACTGAGACCCTGGTAGGGACCCCAGCCCAAAGCAGCAGTGGCAGTATGGAGGGATTCTTGCTTATTGCCCAGCTGCAGTGTTTATTTTCCCCTCCATACCATCCGAATGCAACGGTTTCCAAGCCCGCTGCCCTGCCCCGTTACCTGATCAGGACCCTTCTCGCTCAGACCTGGGCTTTGCATTCTGCTTTCTCAACACTAACCAAGTAAATTGCAGGTTATTTACTAATACTCTGAAACCTGCATTAGGGTCACAGCTCTGTCACTTACCAATCCTGGGACCTTGGCAGTTTCTTCCTCTGTAAGATGGTAGTTATCTGCCTATTTACGGTATGGCCGAGAGAGCCATTTGTGAGCTGGAAAGCTCTACATACATATAAGGAGTTCTTTTCTCCCGGATATAATGGTTATGTAGGATGGTGGAGGAGAGAGAGGAAGAAGGGCCTTTCCCCTCTCCTCCAGTCCTTCTATGGAGGTAGGTTCTTGCTTTCTCCACAACCCCTCTGCCCAGCAACCCCCGTGAAGAGCTCACGAGTCAGCCCCAAAGCTCAGATGTCCACCGGTGTGGATATTCTTTTTGTACTGTGCTGAGTCTGAATCGGAAAACGGAAAGGACCTAACCATCTCAACATAAAGACACCATTTGCAAAAGGAATCTTCACGTTTGCTAAACACTTTGTGGTTCACCATATGTTTCCATACCTTCGCCTTTAATCTCACAGCCAAGCCCAGACGACGAGGCCCACTTTACAGACAAGAAAACTAAGGCTGCTAAGAACACTTAGATGGCCTCAGGGCTTGGATTTGAATGTAGCTGTTCTGTTTCCAAATCCAGAATTCCTACACCATGGCTGCAGACACCGCAGGGCCCCGCAGCCCACGTACAAGGTTTCTCCATTACTGTGCAAAATACACAAACATATGTTAACTTGGCCATTTCTAATCATCTTATTTAGAAAAGCAAAACTTCTGGGTTTGGAGGCTTGCATGCAACACGTTTCCTCTTCCTGGGGAAGACAGTACCCTGGCTCCGTGATCAGGAACACAACCCTGACGTGCTGTACTTACGTCGTACACCTGGGGACTGGTCAGACACCGAGCGAGCAGGCCACACCAGGCGGGCAGCGTGGTGGTTAAGGGGGGGCCGGTGTGTGTGAGGATGGGCTTCAAGTAACTTTGAAAAGAGGATTAAGGAAAATGCCTGCAAAGAGAACACACACCCAACGAAACATGTTCAGAAATCCCAAAGAGTAGGGGCGCCTGAGTGGCTCAGTCGGTTAAGTGTCCAACTTCGGCTCAGGTCACAATCTCATGGTCTGTGAGTTCGAGCCCCGCGTCGGGCTCTGGGCTGACAGCTCAGAACCCGGAGCCTGCTTCGGCCCCAATGGCAACCACCAATCTGTTCGCTGTTACCTGTGAATCTGGGTTTTATTCTGTTTTGTTTTGGTTTTTAGACTCCACATGTAAGTGAAATCATGTATCATGGAGCATTTGTCTTTGTCCGATTTATGTCACTTAGCACGATAGCTTCAAGGTCAATCCACGTTGTCGCAAATGGCGAGATTTCATTCTTTTTAATGGCTGAGTAGTATTCCACTGCCTGTGTGTGTATGTGTGTCTTCCTATTTATTTATTCTTTCTTTATTTATTTTTTCTTCCTATTTATTGATGTATAAACTTTAGTCAGAGGTTTTTAACCCCCTCCTGTGAAAGACGGTACATTGAATTCACTTATACTCCAGCTTTTCTTTAAAAAAAATTTTTTTTATGTTTATTTATTTTTGAGACAGAGAGAAACAGAGCATGAGTGGGGGAGGGGCAGAGAGCGAGGAAGACACAGAATCCCAGGCAGGCTCCAGGCTCTGAACTGTCAGCACACAGCCCGATGCGGAGCTTGAACTCACGAACCGTGAGATCATGACCTCAGCCGAAGTTGGACGCTTAACCGACAGAGCCACCCAGGCGCCCCTATACTCTGGCTTTTCCATTTTTTCCTGGTTTTTATTATACTTAATTTTATACTATAGACATGTAACACTTGCATTCTATTCTGTAAGTCAGAAGTAAAGCTTCTGTGCTTTGTCTACGGATTGAGTCTAAATGTTAAAAGCCACTAACTAGCATTGGTAATATTATTTAACGAATACTATTTGCTAGTAACCCAGCAGAGTGGTTAGAACACTATTAAAGGAAATGTGATACAATGTCATTTAAACTTTGTTCCTGAGAAGAGAACATGAGCTAAATACAGGCTCTTCTTTGAATTTCCTTTTGATCTTGTACATTTCTTGTGGGTTATAACAAATCGTTTCTTCTTCAATGCTGTCTCCTTAGCTGGGTCTGATTTTGATTTTCTTTGATCCTTGTGTTGTTGGTGGTTTTTTCCCCCCTTCTACTAGAGTCTGCACAGTGCCACACTTTTGTGTCTGAACCTGGGTGTCTGAAAGCCACCTGTCTTTTTTTCTAGGCTCAGAGTTTTTTCTTTTCATCCTAGAACTCTGGCAATGCTAGATGGCATTCTAACATTCAAGTTTGCTGATGCCACATTGGGTTCTTCTCTTTATTTTTATTTAATTAATTAATTTTAATGCTTATTTTTGAGAGAGAGAGAAAGAGAGAGAGAGACAGACAGACAAAGTGTGAGTGGGAAAGGGGCAGCGAGAGAGGAAGACACAGAAGCCGAAGCAGGCCCCAGGTTCCGAACTGTTAACACGGAACCTGATGTGGGGCTTGGACCCACAAACTGTGACATCATGACCTGAACCGAAGTCGGATGCTTAACTGACTGAGCCGCTCAGGTGCCCCTGGTTCGTTCTCTTTAGAGGATGCCAGTTTTTCTCTTTGGAAGCCTTGAAGAGCCCCGCTTTTCCTCCTTAGGTTTGGAATGTTCTTTCATTCTTTCTTTGCTTCTTTTTTTCCTCCATGGTCTCTATCTTCTCCTTTCATATTCTGTTCAAGGAGTGTGGACCTTCTGGCTCTAACCTCCCTGTCTTGCAACGCTTTCTTGCCCATCTCTGACTTTGTGCTTGAATTCTTACAGATTCTCTTCCTCAACTTCATCTTCCAGATCAACAGTTTGGTCTCTACCATGTAATTAAACTACCCATTACATTTTGGGGCTCATTTCAGAAACTTTAATTTCTAAGAGCTTCTTCTCATCTGAGGGCTTTTTCTTTTTCTTTTTAATTTTTTTAATGTTTATTTTTGAGAGCGAGTGAGCAAGCGAGGGAGTGGGAGGGGCAGAGAGAGAGAGACAGAGAGAGACAGAGAGAGGAAGACACAGAATCTGAAGCAGGCTCCGGGCTCTGAGCTGTCAGCACAGAGCCCAATGCGGGGCTCGAACCCGTGAACCACGAGATCATGACCTGAGCCGAAGTCAGACGCTTAACCTACTGAGCCACTCAGGTGCGCTGAGTGCTTTTCCTAATAACCCGTTCTTACATCATGACTGGAAAAGCCTCTCAACTCCAAGGCTTTTATTAGAACAATTAAAAAAAATAGGGGTGCCTGGGTGGCTCAGTTGGTTAAGTGTCTGGCTCTGGATTTGGGCTCAGATCATGATCTCACGGTTGGTGGGTTCAAGCCCTGCTTCGGGCTCTGCGCTGACAGTTCGGAGCCTGCTTGGGATTCTCTCTCTGCCCCTTCCCTGCTTGTGTTCTCTCTCTCTCAAAAATAAATAAACAAACATTAAAAAAATTTAAAAAAGAAAAAATTAAAAAATAAATATCTGGTAGGGTGCCTGGCTGGCTCAGTCGGTAGGGCATGCAACTCTTGATCTCAGGGTCATGAGTTTGAGCCCTGCATTGGGCATAGAGTTTACTTAGTGAAAAAATATACATATGTAAGTACACACACACACACGCACACACGTTTGGAATTAATTCCTTTGGCATGCCCCCCTCCCGTGTCTTTACTCAGTTTCTCAGTTCATCAAGCAGGTGCGGAAGTCTACCACTCCAAAGTTGGATGGTGGGGAGGTTACTCTAGGGAGAAAAATCTTTGGTGGCCTCAAGATCTGTTTCTCTACCAATCCCTCCCCAGGCAGTAGCTCTCCTTTCTTGAGAGAGCTATGGCCCGAGGAGAAAATTAACAGCTATCAGCCGATCTGCTGACACAGAAAGTACTGGTTGCAGTCGTCACTAAACAACATTCTTTAATAAATCAGCTAGACAAACTGTCTCAAGACTCGAAGACAGATGGAGTCGGAGCAGAGAAAACTACAGCTTTGGTCTTGCAAGCAGTCACGAATATCTCTTCTGTGATTTCCAGGAGCCCCGGGAGAGCTGTGTGTGCGCACTGAGCCTCTCATCTTACATCGGAAGGCCATCGATTCCATTTTCAGGCTTGTTCCGGGAAGGAGGTACCATGCTTCCTCTTGCCGGCTTGTGGGGATCATTCCTGCCCAGCTGGATCCTCTTCTGTTGTAGCCAAAGCCAAGTCTTCTCATTTAATCATCTCTGGAGCTATAGAATGAGTCGTGGGCACCTTCCTGGTATAATTCCTCAGACGCTTTCCATTCTTGGTCTCCCACCTCCAAACTAAACAAGTAGAAATCCCAGTCACTAAACTTTACATTCAGAGACTTCAGAGATCACTCCTGTTGCCCCGCAAAGAGTCAGTTTCTTCCGCACTCAGCTTCACTGAAGTACGACTGACAAACACTGAATGCATGAAAGGTGTACAAGATGTTTAGATATGCGTATATTGTGAAATGATTGCTACAGTCAAGCTAATTAACATATCCATCACTTCACGTGTTACCATCTTTCTGGCTATGTGTGGTGCAAACGCTTAAGATCTACCCTCTCAGAAAATGTTAAAATTTCCAGCATACAATACAGTGTTGGTAACACTCAAGTTGTTGCCATGTCTTCATTACTGTGAATAATGTTGCTGTGAACATGGGAGTGCGGATTTCTCTTGGAGAAATTTTTTGAGGAACCTCCATACTGTTTTTCCACCGTGGCTGCACCAATTTACATCCCATCGACAGTGTAGAAGGGTCTCCTTTTCTCCACATCCTCCCAACTTGGCTTGTTATTTTTTTCCCATTTTGATTAACAGCCATCCTAACAGATGTGAGGAGAGATCTCATTGTGGTTTTGATATGCATTTCCCTGGTGATGAGTGATGTTGAGCAACTTTTCACATATCTGTTGGCCAAGTGTATGTCTTCTTTGGAAAAATGTCTATTCAGGTCCTTTGCCCCTCTTTGAATTGGGGTATTTGGATTTTGGCTGTTGAGTTATAGGAACTCCTTATATATTTTGAATATTAACCCCTTATCAGATATATGGATTGCAAATATTTTCTTCCATTATACAGGTTGTCTTCTCATACTATTGATGGTTTCCTATACTGTGCAGAAATCTTCTAGTTTGATGTAGTCCCATTTGTCTATTTTTGCTTCTGCTGCCTACGCTTGTGGAGTAAGTCCAAAAACGCACTGTCAAGACCAATGTCAAGGAGCTTTCCCCTGTGTTTTTTTTTTTTTTTCCTAGGAGTTTTATGGTTCCAGGTCTTGCACTTAAGTCTATAAACATTTTGAGTTCCTTTTTGTGAGTGGTGCAAGATAAGTTCCAGTTTCATTCTATTGCATGTGGATATCCAGTTTTCCTGACACCATTTATCAAGGAGACTGCCCTTTCCCAATTACATATTCTCAGCGCCTTGGTTGAAGATTAGTCGATCCAATATGTGCGGGTACGTTTCTGGGCTCCCTCTTCTGTTCCACTGGTCTGTATATCTGTTTTTATTTTTTAACGTTCATTCATTTTGGAGAGAGACAAAGAGTGCAAGTGGGGAGGAGCAGAGAGGGAGGGAGACACAGAATCTAGGCTCCAGGCTCTGAGCTGTCAGTACAGAGCTCGGCATGGGGCTCAAACTCACAGGCCAGGAAATCATGACCTGAGCCGTAGTTGGATGCTTAACCGACTGAGCCACCCAGGTGCCCCTGTATATCTGTTTTAATGCTAATACCATTTTGATTACAATGCCTTTGTAATATAATTTGAAATCACGAAGTGTGGCACCTCAGCTCCGTTCATTTTACCCTAGATTGCATTAGCTATTCACAGTATTTTGTGGTTCCATAGAAAGTTTAGGATTGTTTCTTATTTTCTGTGAAAAAAAAAAAAAACACCATTAGAATTTTGATAGAGATTTCATTGAATCCATAGATTGCTTTGTGTAGTATGGATATGTTAACAATATTCTTCTAATCGATGAACACAGATATCTTTCCATGTATTTGTGTCCTCTTCAATTTCTTTCATCAGTGTTTTTCAGTTTTCAGTGTACAGATATTCACCTACCTGGTTAAATTTATTCCTAAGTGGTTTACTGTTTTTGACGGTATGATAAGGAGACTGTTTTCTTAATATCTTTTTTGGATAGCTCATTGTCAGTGTATAGAAATGCAACTTATTAGTTTTAAAACAGTTTTCTGGTGGAGTCTTTAGGGGTTTCTATATATAAGATCATGTGATCTGCAGAGATAATTTTAATTCTTCCCTTCTGATTTGGAGGCCTTTCATTTCTTTTTCTTGCCTAATTGCTCTGGCTAGGACTTCTAATACTGTATTGAATAGAAGTGGCAAGAGTGGGTGTCCTTGCCTTGTTCTGGATCTTAGAGGAAAAGTTTTCAGCTTTTTGCCCTTGAGTATGATGTTGGCTGTGGGCTTGTCATATAATGGACTTTATTATGCTGACATACATTCCATCTGTATCTACTTTGTTGAGAGTTTATTTTTTATCATGAAAGGCTGTTGGATTTTGTCAAGAGATGCTTTTTCTGCATCTATTGAGACCATATAATTTTATTTTTTATTTTGTTAATGTGGTGTATGTATCACATTTATCAATTTGCTTATGTTGGACCACCCTTGCATCCCAGGGATAAATCTCACTTGGTGTATGATCCTTTTAATGTGCCACTGAATTCAGTTTGTGTTTTTTTAATGTTTATTTATTTGAGAGAGAGAGAGAGCGTGAGTGGGGGTGGGAGAGGGAGGGAGAGATAGAGGGGAAGGGGGGGGGAGAGAGAGAGAGAGAGAGAGACAGAGAGAGAAAGGGAGAGAATATATCTGAACTATGAGATCATGACCTGAGCGGAAATCAAGAATCTGACACCTAACCCACCAAGCTACCCAGGTGCCCTAGTTTGTTAGTATTTTGTTGGAGATTTTTACATCTATGCTCATCAGGGAGACTGGCCTGTAAATTTCTTTTCTTGTAGTGTCCTTGGGCTTTGATATCAGGGCAATGCTGGCCTCATAAAATGAAGTTGGGAGTGTTCCCAACTTTTCAATTTTTTGGAAGAGTTTGAGAATGGATTAATTTTTTGAATGTTTGGTAGAATTCACCAATGAAGCCAACTTCATTATGGTGACATACATTCCGTCGATATCTAATTTGTTGAGAGTTCTTTCTTTTATCATGAAAGGAGGTTGGATCTTGGAAGCTTTTATTTGTTGGGGGTTTTTGATTACTGATTCAATCTCCTGCTTGTTACTGGGCTATTCAGATTTTCTATTCCTTCTTCATTCAGTCTTGGTTAAGCTGTAGGTTTCTAGGAATTTATCCATTTTTTCTAGGTTATCCAATTTTTAGTGTAAAATTGTTCATAGGAGTCTCTTATGACTCCTTGTATTTATGTGCTATCAGTTGTCATGTTTCCTCTTCCATTTCTGATTTTTATTTATTTATTTATTTTTCTCTTAGTCTAACAAAAGGTTTGTCCATTCTGTTTATCTTTTCAGTAAAATAACTCTTACTTTCATTGATCTTCTCTATTGTTTTTCTAGTCTCTATTTCTGTTCTGACCTTTGTTATTTCCTTCCTTCTGGTAACTTTTGGCTTACTTTCTTCTTCTTTTTCTAGTTCCTTGAGGAGTTAGTTTGTTTAGTTGAGATCTTTCTTTCTCCTTAATGTAGGCATTTATCACTATAAGCTTCCCTCTTAGAACTGCTTTCACTGCATCCCATAAGTCATATGTCTGTTAAGTCCGTTTAGTCTACAATGTAGTTCAAGTCCAATGTTTCCGTACTGATTTTATGTCTGAACAATCTACCCGTTGTTGAAAGTGCAGGACTAAACGCCCATAAGAATCAATTTCTTATCACGTTCGCAGTTTGTCACCCTTCTGTGAACTCTCTCCAATTTTCTCCACGTCCTTTCCAAGCCCCGGGAGTAACATGCATTCTGAATCATGGTGTAGAGGGGCGCCTGGGTGGCGCAGTCGGTTAAGCGTCCAACTTCAGCTCAGGTCACGATCTCGCGGTCCATGAGTTCGAGCCCCGCGTCAGGCTCTGGGCTGACGGCTCGGAGCCTGGAGCCTGCTTCCGATTCTGTGTCTCCCTCTCTCTCTGCCCCTCCCCCGTTCATGCTCTGTCTCTCTCTGTCCCAAAAATAAATAAAACGTTGAATCATGATGTAGATAAAGTACATATGGCTTTTTAAAATCCCTGGGTGTTCTATTTCAGTTAATAGCAAACAAGATAATTTGAACCACTGTTTCCACTGAGAGCAACTACAAGAGCTGGGCAAAAGATAAACACATAAAATAAAACACAACAAAATCGGCTGCTTAATGGCATCAGATAGATGCCATGGCAGTGACGAGGGCCAGAATCTGGTGGAAGACATCCAAGAGGTGAGCCTGGTACTTGGTGAGCCACATTTCCCCAAAAGGCACCTGAGAAGCTGAGTAGTGCATCTGACAGACTGACAAAGATAGAGTGAATCTGACAAAAACTGGAGTCCTATCCTTCCGAGGAAGACTATGGAAACACCTTACGCTCTCCATTAGAACCTTAGGGAAAAAAAGGCCACCAGAAAACAGACTAATCCTCACAGGAATTGATTCCCGGCTTCAAATCACCTTTACTCCTGACTGGGCTACAGTGACCTGGAACTGCTAATGCCCTTGCCTAGCCACTGACCAGATGTAAGTTCATCAGCTCTGAAGGACGACAGCCTCCTCAAGAGCATCTCAAATGATCTCTACACTTTTTTGTTGCCCATGTCCATCACTCAGTAAAAAAAAAAAAAAAATAGATGTGCAGAAGATAAACAATAAAGTTTCTAGAAGATGAGAGAGGAAACTGGTTTCGTGACTTTGGGGTAGAGAAAGATTTTCACAACAGGACACAAAAACTACTAACCAGAAAAGATCAATAAATTGGATGAAGGCCTTTTGTTTATCAAAAGATTCTATTTAGAAGTGAAAAGGCAAGTCACAAGGAGAGATTTTTGTATCACATATAATTAGCAAAGTACTCACATCCAGAATACCTAAGGAATGCTTACAAAATGGTAAGGAAAAGGTAGGCAGCCCACAAGAAAAATGGGCAAGAGACTTGAACAGGTGCTTCATAAAGGAACACACCAAATGGCCAGTAAATATATGGAAAGATGGTCAACCTTATTAGTCATCAGATAAATGCAAATTAAAACTATAATAAAATACCACTATAAACTCAATAGAATTGCTAAAATTAGCAAGACTGACAACACCAACAGTCAGTGGGGATGTGGAGCGACTAGAACTCTCATACCCTAGAGGTGAGTGTGTAACGTGGTACTACCATTTTGTAAAACTGTTTGGCACTATCTTTTAAAGTTGAACCAATGCATGTCCTATTACCCAGCCATTTCACTCCTGGGTATATTCCCAACAAAAAATTATATGTATACGTGCACCAGAAGACGTGGACAAAAATGCTCATAAACAGTATTCTTTTTTGAGATGGGGGGGGAGGGGCAGAGGGAGAGGGAGAGGGAGCGAATCCCAAGCAGGTTCCATGTCAGCCTGACGCGGGGCTCGATCTCATGAACTGTGAGTTCATGACCTGAGCCAGAATCAAGAGTCAGACGCTTAGCCGAATGAGCCACCCAGGCGCCCCCGTAGCTGTATTTTTCATACTAGCTCTAAACTAGAAACAATCTACGTGTTCATCAACTATCAATGGTAAGTAAATGGCGGTATACTCATACAGTGAAATACTATACGGCAATGAAAACAGGTGAACTAGAGCTACACGTGACGACATGGATGAGTCACACAAATGATGTCAAGCGAAATAAACCAGACACTAGGATATATATAGTCTGCAGTCCCATTCATACGGAGTTCAAGAATTTTTTTTATGTTTTCCAAGACTGTATGCGAACTACCTACCCATTAGATCATGATGTCAAGTTAAACGATGAGAATGAACTTTTGGGTCTTTAAGTTTCACCTGAGGGCCAAGCGAATCTCCTAGTGTAGAGTTGGCCATGCAGGTGGCCCATAGAAGTGACCTTCCCCACACGGATAAAGTGCTCAGGTTCTACTTTCCTTCCCGACCGCGGCACCTTTCATCGTGTGATTTTAACTAATTCACCTGCGTAGGCTTATTTCCCTTGGTCATAAGAGGCACCCAAGTCTACCAGGCTGTGGGGTAGCTACCCTAATGATGTACTAATGATTCCTCTTGGCCAGAGAGATGTTTGCCGGGACTACCTATGGTTGAACGATCATTGCCTGTGGCCCAAGAGAGGCATGACTGCACCTTATAGCACGCACACAGCCTTCCTTACTCGTCAGAAGTTGTTCACGGATGACTCAACAAGAGAATCTCATCACCGCTGTTTCACGAGTACAGGGAGGTCACTGAAAAGGATACTTGTGGTCAAAGCTGTACCACAGCCTGAAGAGCCACGCACTCTCCTGCTTCGTCCGGTTCCCTCTGGCAGAATCCGGACCATCCTAGGAACAGACAAGAGGACAGACGCTTAGTTGGAGAAAAGGGAATGAAATGGGGTGTGGGGAGGGGGACGGAAGCTTCTTTTTTAACCGTAAGTTTTGGAGATTTTGAGCTCAGAGTCAAACATCCTATATCACCAAAGTTTTAGATACACTAGGAGGTAATGCCTTTTTTAAAATTTAAATTCAAGTTAGTTAACATATAGTAGAGTATTGGTTTCAGGTAGAATTTAGGGATTCATCACTTACATGTAACACCCAGTACTCATCACGAGCGCCCTCCTTAATGCCCATTGCCCATCTAGCCCATCCTAACCTGTCGCCAAACCCAATGCGTTACCATCACCTGGAACGCTGCAGCTCTTGTCGAGGAGACTTGGGTAGGTCCCAAGAAGGACCATTACAATGAGTAAAGCAAAGGAAAGCTTTCTTTCTGAAGACAAACTAACAAAAGGTCTTCAGAGAGCTCTGCCTGCCGTCCACAAGGAAGATAAAGGGACCTTGAATGCAAGAAACTAAGAGACACCTTGTAGCCCTGAAATGTTACGAGTTGTAAGTTCCGAGCAAATATCAGGTATGACAAAGCGGGGACCTGCTCTCTCACCATACCCCCTCCCCAAACCTGCATTCCCACGGGAGGGTTTACACCCCATGTCTTCAGCGCAACATCCTTGCGTACGGTCACCTTCTCCCACTGACAACACCTTGCCGGGGCGATCCCTATTCATCCTTCAGGGCTGGGTACAAGGCTGGCCTCTCTGAGAAATGTTTCAAAGGCAACACAGCAGTCCAAGGGGTATACGTAATGAGTGTCACAGGCTTCCTCAACCAACTATGGGGGTCCAAATCCTAATTCTACCCCTGGCTGTGCCATTGTCTTGTTGTGTGACCCTGTTGTATGATTACCACTGTAGCATTAGCGAACATCTATTTCCTGTCACATAATTATCAGTTGTTGTTTTTTTTTTTTTTTTTTTTTGGCGACACAGTGCTGTTGATTGTACTTATTATGTTGGGCATGAGATCTGCAGCACGTATTTATCTATTAGCTGCAGACCTGTCCGCTTAAACATCCCCCCAATTCTCTCGCCCCCGAACTCCTGGTCACTCCCATTCTACCCTCTGTTCTTGTGAGTTACACATGGGATTTATTCTTAAACTTTGTATTGACCTTACTAAGAGAGAAGCCCCTTGAAGAAAATACCGCTGGCTCTCCTTATCACCAGTTTTCAGGGATATAACAATGAGTGTATTTTTTTTCTGCATACATTAAGCACCTACTGTGTGCCAGGCACCATGATGGGTACTGGAGACAAAAAGGAATGATGTTAGCACTTGCCCCTGAAGGAGCACATTTCCTAGGTGGGGGGGCGGGGCGGGGAGAGCGGGGGAAGACAGACAGATATGTATACAGTGACAAGTGTGATGAAGAAAAAGAAAGCAGATTAAAGAACTGAGTTCTTACTGTAAAAGATAGAAAAGTTTAACCTTAAGGTCAGTAGAGTAGTGAGAACAGCTTATGGTTTTTTTCAGAGGTAGAGCAGCACACTGCCCCCCTCCCCCGCAAAGATTTCTATCTCCGAATCCCTGGAGCCTGTATGTTATGATACCCGGCAAAAGGGGCTTTGTAGATGGACTTACAGTTTTCTAGGAGGCCCAGTGCAATCACACAGGTCCTTAAAAATAGACAAAGAGGGCAAAAGAGAGAGTTGCGGTGGAAGAAGGGGCAGGAAGGATTCGAAGTGTGACAGGGATGCACCCTGCTGTTGCTGACTTTGAAGACAGAGGGGGCCACAGAGCAGGAAATGCACGTGCTTCTAGGACATGAGCTTGACCCTGGGCCAATGGTCAGCAAGGAAATAGGACTGTAGTCCTATAACCACACGGAACTGAATTCTGCCAGTAGTCTGAATGAGTTTGGCAGGGGGTTCTTGCCCAGAGCCCAACCCCACCCAACGCCTTCATTTTGGCCTTGAAACGGAGAAACCAGCGGAGTCCACCAGACTTTTAACCTACAGAATATAAGACTGTTGGTTGAAGCCACTGAGTTTGTGGGGATCCGTTACGGTGGCTCTAGAAGTCTAATGCAGAACAAAAGAGTAAAATAAGTGATATGACCCAGTTTGGGCCTTTTTCATGTCCCTGGGATGGTGGGGCCAACGCTTCTCTGAAGGGAGTATAACAGGTTTTAAAAATGCGGGTTCAGGTTCAGTGGGTCTAGATGGGTCCTGACAGTCTGCATTTTTACAAGCTCTCTGATGATGCCCAGGCTTCTGGTCCATGGGGACACTCGGGGCGGCAAGGACAGATCTACTGATCTCACATCTGGCAGTCGCCACTCTTACCCTTCACCACACTGTCACCACACCCTTAAGGATGTGGATTCATGTGTCCCCTTTGCAGATGTATCCCCAGAGCCTGAAAGAATGTCTGAAATAGAACAGGTGCTCAGTACGCATTTGTCAAATGAGTGAATTAATGTTAATTGTGAAATTCTAGGAAAAAAAAAAAAAAAGAATAGCCAAAAGGGAAATTAGGGACCAAGGGACGCAATCAGAACAAAAAGAAAAGCGTGGTGGGGGTGGGGGAGTCAAAGAGTAGGAATTTGAAGAAAAAAAAAAAAAGGCACTACAGCAACTGTTTGATATCAAAGATTTAAGTGACTGGGTATCAGATTTCAGCCTGGAGGAAAGCTGGAGAAGGACCCAGAAGAGTTATAGGTCAATAACAGCTGATTTTCTGCTCGAGGGTGTGCACGCACCCGCACGGTACTGTCCTTTCCTCCACATTCCATTAATATCCTGCTTGTGATCTTGCCCTGCTGAGATGAGAAAGCCAGGATAAATTCAGAGTCAAAGTGCTCCTAGCTACTCCAAAGCGGCCCCATCGACGAGTGCTCTTCTGTAAACTCGGGGAAGGAAGTGAATGGTTTGTCTGCACGTCCGGCCAACGGCCAACGTCAATCTCAGCTCTGTCTGGCAGGAACAGCTCCCCCCTTGAATGGGGTGAGAGGCCACCCCCAGGCCCAGGCAGCTTGCCTCCAGCTGGGCTTGTTTTTGTTTTGGTTGCAAAGTCACCAAGACCTCCGGAGAAACAAAGCAACTGAGGTTTTTGTTTTGTTTTGTTCTAATGAGTCAAACTTGCCAGGGAGGTGAAGCCGAAGTCTGCCCACGATATTCTTATGCTTCCCTCACAGAAAAGCCAAAAGTCCTAGCCAGAAGCCCCTTTCCCTCGCTCACATGAGCTAACATTCTGGGCTTCTAGATCCAGTGAGGAAAACCGCACTGTCATAACAAATTCGCTCCCGTCAGATGTTCAGATGTCACTTTCCTGTTTGTTTTTCAGAAGATCATTTGGAACATGCGGTGAAGAAAGCTGCCCTTTCTTTGCTGATGGGGAACAAACATCTGGACTTCCCCCATTTAGGATTTCAGTTTCATGACATCACTGAGCGTGTGACCTGGATCCCTTTCAGGGGAAACTGCAAGAACCCAGGATTTCACCCAAAAATGAGGAGCCCATTTATTTCTCTGTTTTCCTGTTGCTCGTGACCACTGAGTGCTCCCAGCCCTGCTGTTAGCGCCTCGCTGGACCGAGAAGGTCAGGCCAGGAGGACTGAGAGAAATAAGGCCCTTGAGGTACAAGGGCATGAGTCACCTTTAAGAAGGTGCCCCGGGAAACCAAACTTGAAGTTCGCCTTTTCCCCCCCTAGTCTGACAGCAATCTTGAAAGACTTTCAAAATGCCAGTGGAACTCATTTTGACGGCCCTCTGCATGACTGTGTGAGAGGCTTGGGAGGAGGGAGGTCAAGGGGCTGATGTGACAGCAGATCCTGGTTAGAGGCAGCCAACGGGTGCCACTGGGAGTTCAGCAGAAGTCACCAGCGCCTGCCCATTCGCAATTGGCCCAAAGGGCCCTCCAGGGAGCCATCGGGAACACTGATGACCCCTCCGGACCCATCTAGGGAGGCTCCTGAAACTCACCCCGCCTGGGGCAGCGTGCATTATCTTAGCTGTCACTGCACGGGCTGAATGCAGTGCCAGAACCCTTGGCACTTGGGACCCACAGCTTTCTCAAACATTTCCATGGAGAAGTGACAAGCCAGTTTGTTTCTAAGTCTCGTTACAAGCCAAGCGTTGCCATGTGAATTTCTTCTGAGATGAACAGTAGGTTCCGCCACATGAAACCAACCAAACCATTTCAGGTGCTTCCTTTCAGACATGCTTAAATCCAGAGGCAGGGGCAATTAAAACAACAACAACAACAACAACAACAACAACAACAACAGCAGCAGCAAAAGGGCTGGGAAAGTTTGACTCATCTGGAACTGACAAGCTGAAATCTCTCCAAACCCTGGCTATCCAGCTGGAATTGGCCTGTTTTTCTCACAAAATTCATCTTCACCAGCCACGGTCCTGGAGAGGAGGCTTTGGAATAAAGACACTTCACCCAGGGTTTTCTTATAGTGAGTTTTAAGATCTCCCTAAGGGTTATACACTAAAGTTTATTTATTTATTTTTGAGGCGGGGGGAGGAGGGAGGGAGAGAGACGGAGTCACAGAATCCGAAGCAGATTCCAGACTCTGAGCTGTCAGCACAGAGCCTAACGCGGGGCTCCAACTCACAAACCGGGAGATCATGACCTGAGCCGAAGTCGGGCGCTCAACCGACTGAGCCACCCGGGCACCCCTAAGTGTTATACTCTAAATTAGCTTCTAGGTGCACAAGTCCCGAACGCTTGTTTTCCAAACTCCTCAATCAAAACTAGAGTCCAATGGCAACTTTTCACAAAGAATTTCTCATTGAAACTTCAAGCTCCCAACACAACGGCCAGTTCTAATAGAATCTCTTCTGAAAATGTCCAGGTCTTTCAGAGGTTGTGGTTTTGTGTCCCCGAAGGAGCATCACCACCAAGATGTGACCACCCCTGCGAAGGAGATCCGAAAAAGCCGTAGCGGCACCTCCCGGCCCGGCACAGCACGACACCTTGCAACACTTGCTAAATCTGGTGTGCAGGATGGAGCCGTTTACAAGGTCCCCTGGAATCTTCAATATGTAGCCTGGATTTAGGATTCGGTGCAATTCCAAGCTGACTGGAAAAGAGGGAAATGCCCGCCATGGCTTCACGCACGACACACACGAGGGGTCGGGAACCTTGCCGGCGGTACTGTTAACTCCTGCCGCCCCCCTATCTGCCCATCAAATACCCACCGAGAACACCCCACCCACCCCCACCTTCGTTGCCAGGCACTGTGCTCAGCGCTGGAGATTCCGTCCCAAATAAAAGACTTCCTGATGCCTAAGGCCAAGTAATAGCATTTTGTAACAAGTGTCTGCTCCTGTCATAACCCTTCTTCGCCCAACCTTGCCTGCCCGGGGAAATGCCAGCCTCGGGAAGGGGCGAACCTGAACACACGACAAGGGTGTCGCGGCAGCTCAGAATCACGTCTGCCCCTTTGTTGACGCTCCTCCTGTAAAGAGGTGACAGTCCCTCTCCCCTCCCCCTTGAATCTGGGCTGGCTCGAGCAGCTCACTGTGACTGCCAGAAAGTCACAGATGTGACGCCGGGAGACATCCAGGGTCAGGAATGGCCATGTAGCTTCCACCTTGCCTGCTGGGTCGCTGGCTTTCGGAACCCTGAGCCATCGTGTAAGAAGTCCGATACCCCGAGGCCACGTGGCGGAGCCAGGCGCAGGCATTCCGGCCGGCTGCCCTAGTCTTTGGGGTTCTCCCAGCCCAGGTGCCAGATACAGGAGTGAATGAGTCTTTGGATGATGCCAGCCCCCAGCTTTCTACTCGGAGCAAAGGCAAGCAGCCCGTATTCTGCCCTTTCCGACTTCCTGGCCTCGAGAATCCATGAGCCAGAGGATCTGCTGCTCACTTTCCTATGCCTGGTGCGGTTTGTTATATGCAGCAACAGTAACCGGAGCAGATTCTCTGCAGCAGCGGGGACGACTCTTCCCTGCCGGTCACACTCGATGCTGCCACGGGGCTCCTCTGCTGGCAGCCTCAACAGCTGCCCTCCCTGGCACTCCGTCCCAGGCCGTCCCGGCTGGCACCACCCCGCCTAAGCCTTAACCATTATGACCTTCAGCCCCTACGGTGGGAGGTGGGGGGTAAGAGTCTTGTTCTCTGCCGTTAGTGGGCTTGAGGGGAACTCAGTTGTACAGGATTCCAGCCCCCGGAGAACAGGACGGCCTGTGATCAGCCACATCCTTCCTCTCTTCCTCAGATTCCCTGCACTGGAGAGTCAGACCCCAGCCCTCTCCTTCCCCTGTGTGGGCACCACTGACAGACTCTGACCCAGTGACGGCGAGCCCACCACCAGTGTATTCAAATACCCATGCTCGGAAAGTAGGCAGTCAGGGACTTAGCTTGAATGCTCTTCCTGGCCGGCCTACCCCTCAATATGTTGTTTAAGAACGTTGACTCCACGGTCAAGTCCCGCATTCATGACTTTTTAATTCTCCAACTGTAGACGACTCACTTAGACTCTCAAACTCCAGCTTCTAATCTGTAAAGTGGGGATAACGGTACCTACCTCATGAGGTTGTTATCATGCTCACAGTGAGGGAATCCATGTAAAGATGCCTGGCATGTAGTAAATGCTCAATACATTGTAGCTATTTTAAAAAAAGTTTACTTATTTTGAGAGATAGAGCAAACATGCACGTGTAAGCAGGGGAAGGGCAGAGAGAGAGGGAGAGAGAACATGAGCAGGGGAGGGGCGCAGAGACAGGGAGAGAGAGAATCCCAAGCAGGCTCTGCGCTGTCAGCACAGAGCCCAACGCAGGGCTAGAACCCATGAACCGTGAGATCATGACCCGAGCTCAAGCCGAGCTGGACGCTCAACCGACTGAGCCACCCAGGCGCCCCAACTTTAGCTGTTTTTAACAATGTCTTCCCCTGGAAGGAGCATCTCTTGTGACTTACCCCTTGTAAGACTTGAAAGCTGTCGTTGTTGGGTGGTGGGTCTTGATCTGGGTCAACACCGACTCTAGAAGTCGCCAGGGAGAAAGACAAGGAGAAAAACGGAGAGTGTTAGCTTGGACCGTGGCGGCCATGCTGGCGGCAAGTAGCCAAGAGGGCTGACCACCTCCCGGAAGCGGAAGGAGGAGTTAGCTAAAAGAAGAGGAAGGCCGCCATGCAAAAGTCGTGAGAAAGAGGTCACGTACCATGCCAGAGCCCAGGGGGCAGAAGAGGCAAGAAGTCCCGTGTGCTCACACCCTACCCTGGCCTCTGGGGAACAGCACCAGATGGTCCGAGTTATCCGAGGGGGGATCCCGCTGCCCCCCACCTTTTCCTTTCTGCTGCTTCCTCCCCTCTGCCCTGACCTTTGAATTCCCCAAACATCTGCTACGGGATGTTTCACATGTCCAGGGAAGTGCTGGAGGAATTCACAGTGAACACCTAGACGCCACCGTTGATATTTTGCTGGAGTTTCTTTATCGCACATCTAGCCATGTCTCTATCGGCTAATTTTTCAGAGGCATTCAAATAAAGTTGCAGCCATCCGTACACGTCGCCTCAGTACCCGAGCGTGCACATCATTAACGTTTTATCCTGGTGGCCCCCGCGTCCTCCTGCAGCAGAGACGACCTGAGAACCGGCACATTCGAGATCAAGAACTGAAGGCAGACGGAAAAGGCCAAGTGGCGAGATCCGCTCAAATCCCACGCGTCTACTGGGGTTGAGCTGCCCTGTACCTTCCTCACTCGGAGGCAGAGAGCTGTGATGCCCATGACACGGAGAGCATGGGGAAATGGGGGAGAAAACAGAGAGGCAAGGAACATTCTCTGTCTTCCCTCACTCCCTCGGGTGCTGCAAAGAACTGTAAACTGAGAACGCGGCTTTTTTTGTTTTTTGGGTTTTTTTTTTTTTTTTTTTGGGCAGGTGTAACTTGAGCTTAAAGGGGTCTCAACCAAGGGTCTCTGCAGCCCCGTGTGCACACCTTACTTTTCTCCCTCTCCCTCCCTCTTTCCCACCTGTGAGGCCACGTCACGTCTTGAGAAAAGAGACGAATGGAAAAGGGAAATAGAAGACAACCTCCTCGCAAAGCCAACCTCCGCCCTGTCTCATTCCAGGTCTGTCCGGCACTCACCCAAGGCGTGGAGCCCTGGAAAGGGGCGCTCTGGAGGGAAAGGGGACAGATCCCCCAGGTGTCACGGAAGGCGGAGTTGAAAACCACAGGATGAATGCACACATCTGGCAAATATTTGCTGAGTGCCTACTCTTCTAGCTAAAACCTAGTGTACCTGACACAAGAGTTCCTCCCTACGGGCCTGGGGCTTGGGAGGACCTTTGCAGGGAGTTAGATGGACTTTGCTCTGTGTCTAGGAGCTGCCTCCAGGCAGGAGGTTCTGAGGCTTGGAGGCTTGTCGTCATCACCGGACTTTATCCGGGGGACCTCCGTGCAACAAATCTCACAGAGATTTTCTGACCGGAAATCCGTCCAATTCAGGGGCCCTCAGGGCTGCCCCTTAAAAACGTCACACCAGGGCCTCCATGTACCCGATGTGTCTAATGCATCAGAGTGCGAGACGAGGGGTCGCATATGGGTTTCCTCGCTCTTGATTTTGAGCCCTCACCTGTTTTGGAGACCCTGAACGAATGAACATACGGTTCGCAGAGAAAAGTCCTCTGTATGGTGAGTTTGTCAGCATTTGTAAGATCAACGGCTAGGATCTACAGCAGCACGAAGCCACTTAATGGCAGGCTAGTTCACTTGGATGAGCTCCCCCATGCAGACTCAGAGGGGCGGAGCAGCGGTTACCCCGGCATTTCTCAGACGGCCTGTCAGAATGCCAGGTGACACAGCAGTCCTCGGCCTAACCAAAAGGCCTAACCATACCGTGGGGCAGGAGCAATGAGATTATGGGATCTGAAGGGCATGGAATGCAGTATGGCCAAGGACATGGCGGCCCAGACCTGCCACTCATAATCTCTCCTTTCTGTACTGTGAATTTCGAAACAGGTGTAATGAGCCTTCATAAGTGGCTTCTATGTCAGCAAAGATGAAACAAATGGACTTTGCTGGCCTAGATGAAATAGGAAGGCGACGGGTAAGAGAAAAGGTCACGTATGCCCTGTATTACGATAACGAAAACAAAACCAAATGTAATAAAAGCTGCCACACGAAATTTGGCCCCCTCTATTCTTTTGACGAATCTCTATTAAGAGGAAAACAACTTGTTTCACAAGAATCAAATTCTGTGGAACAAGAGCTGCTTAGAAAGACTAGGTGGTGACTATTCTCACTCGAGTCCTGGCAATGTCAGTGGAACTCTTTCTCCTGGGCCCGCCGTGGCCAGGCCGGAATGCAAAACAACAACGCACAACACGTTGAAAGGACTTGATAAACTCACAAAAGTAGGGCCACCTTAACCTCATCTCAAACCCGCAATGTTCAACATTTTGTTTGGGGGAACCTGGGAATGATTCCAGATCCACGCTGTCCAGCAGAACGTTCTGCAACGATGCTAGTGGTCTAGATCTGCGCTGTCCAATGTGCTAGCCACGGGCCACATGGGGCCGGCCACTGAGCAGTTGAAATTTCACTCAGTTTCACACCAAAAGAGAAAACAAAGCAAGCAAACGAGTGTGCTCATTCTGGAATGAAGAAATACAGAAAGAAGGTGAATACTTTCCCTTCTGGTCTAAGTACCTTGGGATCAGCTGCTGTATAAAATGCCATGAAATGCCAGGAATTTTAGAAGTGTTCCACTTTAATCGATAACTTTTCAAAAATTTGAATGGCTGAGGTCCTAAATAATCGGAGGACCATGAGACACATACCTTCATGCAAAACCCTGAACATCAGATCATAGTCGGAATTCTCGAACGTCCCAAGGGTAATAACTTGTACTTTGCCCAAAGGACCTTCCTTCCTGAAGGTGGGATATTTCAAAAGAAAGGGTTTCCTCTGCAGCTTAACTGGTACCTACAGTCAGGTCTCCAAAAGTTAACGTGTGTGTGTGTGTGTGTGTGTGTGTGTGTGTGTGTGTGTGTGTTTGCGCATGCATGTGTATTTTAAACAGTAGAGAAAAATGTGAACCCAGGGAATTTAACAGCTTCCTTTAATTATATGCACATCATTACAGTATATCTGGAGCCCGGTGATATCGTGATGAACATGCCTGATGACAGGCATCGCTATTCTCTCTGCTGCCCTCAGTGACGTACTTTCACAGTGGCGAGAACAGAGTTCAAGCCTATTCTGCGCTGGTTTATCTACCAGCATTGAGAATCAGATCAGGAAGGAAAAAAAGAAACATTCAAGTCTTTGCTCTGCTTGCTCAACATTGCCACTCTTAAGCCTAATCCAATCGTAAACCTGGATGAACACTGAGAAACAAACTGCATTAAAAGAGTCTTTATCTTCTGGTTTAAAAAACAACTCTTTTTTTTAAACCAGAAGATAAAGACCTTTTGGGATGAGCACTGGGTGTTGTATGGAAACCAATTTGACAATAAATTTCATATACTGAAAAATAAATAAATAAAATTAAAAAAAAAAATAAAAAAACACTCTTTTTGTATCTTCTGATTCACCATAAGGTACAAGTACACAAATACAGACTTAAAAATCTAAGAGAGTGTTGGTGTTGATTAAGACTGATTCTCCAGTCACGGCAGAAATATCAAATGCTAGTTCTCTTGGGGCGCCTGGGTGGCTCAGTCAGTTAAGTGTCGGACTTTGGCTCAGGTTGTGATCTCCTGAGTTTGAGCCCCGGGTTGGGCTCTGTGCTGACAGCTCGGAGCCCGGAGCCTGCTTCTGGTTCTGTGTCTCCCCCACTCTCTCTCTCTCTGCGCCTCCCCCATTCACACTGTCTGTCTGTCTCTCTGTCTCAAAAATAAATAACCATTAAAAAACAATTCTAGTTGTCTTCAGGAGTTAAAAGCCTTGTCTACTAGACCAGAAACAAGACTTTGTGGGAAAAGATCCGTGGCTCTGAAAATGGACTGCTCTCAACGCTAAGCTCAGTGGTAAAAGAAGGGAGAGACACTTGCCATCTCCGGCCTTGGTGTTGACACACGTTGTCCAACATGCAGGGCAAGGGGACAGAATCTCAGGAACACCGACACATCAATCAACCCAGAGAAAGGGCGGGAAAAAGGGTTAGACGTGACCCGACCTCTTGCCCTTTTGCTGGAAGGGGCAGGGGGGTGGCACACACAGGGAAGAAGAAAGAGACAAAACAGCATGGAGAGAAACATCTCAGGTTAGGAGGAGGAGAGAAGCCAGGCCCGGTTAATTGGTTTCTGAGGACGCCCTTGTGTCACCTGAAGTACTGTGAGCGGCGTTCGTTCTGGTCCTCTTCGGAGGGCTCCTCGACGCCAACTCTGGGCAGCAGAAAAAGGGAGTGTGAGTGTGACAGGGACACGGGGGAGCCAGGAGCTATGGGACACGGGACACGGGACCACGCCCATCAGAGAACAGGCTGGCTCACCTTGAATATAAATCTGGACCCTCTCTTCAGCTGTCCCCATTGGCTTAAACCCGGAGAGGCCGAGGGGCCACCAAACTTAGATTCAAAGCAACAATGGTAGGAGCTAGCTCAAATGAGGATCGACTCGGAAGGAAGACGAGCCTCTCAAGATATAACGGAAGGACACCAGAGGACTAAGTGCAACGCACAGGTGATGAGTTCCTACTTTTCAGGAATTCATCTGTTTCATAAAGCAAGATCCATCCGTAGGAAAACCGGGAGACAAAGTTGTCACTAAACACACACTTGAAGTGTTCACACGTATTTTGACACATACTGGACAGAAACAGCAAAAAGTAAACCATGTTGTCCACAGATTTGACCTGAAGGTCAGGAGCGCAACTGCTGCTATTCTCTGTCTTGTGCCTTAGAGCTGGCACTGCCCATCTGCACCTTCCTTAACAATTTCTGGGTTATTCAGGGTTCATTTGAACTTTGCCATCGTGCTCTAGGAGCAGGGTTTCACCATCTTGGCGCTGTTGACATTCTGGGCCCTGGCCTCTGCCTACCAGGTATCAGTAGCATCCCCCCTGCCCCGCTGAGGCAACCAAAAATATCTCCAGACGTTGACAAACGTCCCCTGGGAGGCAACCTGCCCTTGGTGGAGAACCACTGCGCTAAATCATGTGCAATACCAATTAGGGGTGCTATTGCCCCCATGGGTGTGAAAATTGGTTCTTAGGAGACAAAAAAAAAAACCCTTTAGATATTACAGTGGTTTCTAGCCCTCTGAAGCGTGATAGCACATAAACAGGTACATAGCAGATCTGTGGTATTAAGTTTTCACTGGAAGAGGTCTTTGGGAAAAAGATATTTTTGAAGGACTCCCTGTGGGGGGCGTAGCAGTACTAACGGTGATAGAAGAGCTAAAATACAACAAACGCTTACCCTGTGCCAGACGGTACGTTTAATGAGCAAACTCTTTATCACGTTTATTTGTCGTCACATTTTGGCCTCACGCTAGTGTCCCCATCGAAACCGGTGAGGGAGAGTGAGTTGACGAGCCTCAATAAGTTGCCCAAGGTCACAAAGGTAGAAAAATGGTGGAATCGCGATGGCGGCGTAGGAGGACGCTGGGCTCACCGCGCATCCAGCTGATCACTTAGATTCCACCTACACCTGCCTAAATAACCCAGAAAACCACCAGAGGATTAGCAGAACGGAGTCGCCGGAGCCAAGCGCAGACGAGAGGCCCACGGAAGAGGGTAGGAAGGGCGGCGAGGTGGTGCGCGCTCCACAGACTGGCGGGAGGGAGCCGGGGCGGAGGGGCGGCTCGCTGGCCAAGCAGAGCCCCCGAGTCTGACTTGCAAAAAGCAGAGGGGCCTGACGGACTGTGTTCCGACAGCAAGCGCGACTTAGCGTCTGGGAGGTCATAAGTTAACAGCTCTGCTCAGAAGGCGGGAAGGCTGGAAGACAAAGGGAGGGAGAGCTGCTGAGCCCCCGGAGGACAGAGCTCAGTTTGGTGGGGAACAAAGGCGCTCGCCAGCGCCATCTCCCCCGCCCATTCCCCAGCCAAAATCCCAAAGGGAACCAGTTCCTGCCAGGGAACTTGCTCGCTCCGCACAAACACCCAACTCTGCGCTTCTGCGGAGCCAAACCTCCGGCAGCGGATCTGACTCCCTCCTGCTGCCACAGGGCCCCTCCTGAAGTGGATCACCTAAGGAGAAGCAAGCTAAGCCTGCCCCTCCTGCCCCTGTGCACCTTGCCTACCCACCCCAGCTAAGACGCCAGATCCCCAGCATCACAAGCCTGGCAGTGTGCAAGTAGCCCAGACAGGCCACCCCACCCCACAGTGAATCTCGCCCCTAGGAGAGGGGAAGAGAAGGCACACACCAGTCTGACTGTGGCCCCAGCGGTGGGCTGGGGGCAGACATCAGGTCTGACTGCGGCCCTGCCCACCAGCGCAAGTTATTCAAGACAGCACAGGGGAAGTGCCCCGCAGTCCTGCACCACTCCAGGTACTATCCAAAATGACCAAATGGAAGAATTCCCCTCGAAAGAATCTCCAGGAAATAACAACAGCTAACGAACTTATCAAAAAGGATTTAAACAATATAACAAAAAGTGAATTTAGAATAATAGTCATAAAATTAATCGCTGGGCTTGAAAACAGTATAGAGGACAGCAGAGAATCTCTTGCTACAGAGATCAAGGGACTAAGGAACAGTCAGGAGGAGCTGAAAAACGCTTTAAACGAAATGCATAACAAAATGGAAACCACCACGGCTCGGATTGAAGAGGCAGAGGAGAGAATAGGTGAACTAGAAGATAAAGTTAGGGAAAAAGAGGAAGCTGAGAAAAAGAGAGATAAAAAAATCCAGGAGTATGAGGGGAAAATTAGAGAACTAAGTGATGCACTAAAGAGAAATAATCTACGCATAATTGGTATTCCAGAGGAGGAAGAGAGAGGGAAAGGTGCTGAAGGTGTACTTGAAAAAATCATAGCTGAGAACTTCCCTGAACTGGGGAAGGAAAAAGGCATTGAAATCCAAGAGGCACAGAGAACTCCCTTCAGACGTAACTTGAATCGATCTTCTGCACGACATATCATAGTGAAACTGGCAAAATACAAGGATAAAGAGAAAATTCTGAAAGCAGCAAGGGATAAACGTGCTCTACCATATAAAGGGAGACCTATAAGACTCGTGACTGATCTCTCTTCTGAACCTTGGCAGGCCAGAAAGGAATGGCAGGAGATCTTCAATGTGATGAACAGGAAAAATATGCAGCCGAGAATCCTTTATCCAGCAAGTCTGTCATTTAGAATAGAAGGAGAGATAAAGGTCTTCCCAAACAAACAAAAACTGAAGGAATTCATCACCACTAAACCAGCCCTACAAGAGATCCTAAGGGGGACTCTGTGAGTGAAATGTTGCAAGGACCACAAAGTACCAGAGACATCGCTACAAGCATGAAACCTACAGACATCACAATGACTCTAAACCCATATCTTTCTATAATAACACTGAATGTAAATGGACTAAATGCGCCAACCAAAAGACATAGGGTATCAGAATGGATAAAAAAACAAGACCCATCTATTTGCTGTCTACAAGAGACTCATATTAGACCTGAGGACACCTTCAGATTGAGAGTGAGGGGATGGAGAACTATTTATCATGCCACTGGAAGTCAAAAGAAAGCTGGAGTAGCCATACTTATATCAGACAAACTAGACTTTACATTAAAGGCTGTAACAAGAGATGAAGAAGGGCATTATATAATAATTACAGGGTCTATCCATCAGGAAGAGCTAACAATTATAAATGTCTATGCGCCGAATATGGGAGCCCCCAAATATATAAAACAACGACTCACAAACATAAGCAACCTTATTGATAAGAATGTGGTAATTGCAGGGGACTTTAACACTCCACTAACAACAATGGATAGATCATCTAGACACAGGATCAATAAAGAAACAAGGGCCCTGAAAGATACACTGGATCAGATGGACTTGTCAGATATATTTAGAACTCTGCATCCCAAAGCAACAGAATATACTTTCTTCTGGAGTGCACATGGAACAAATCAGGAGACTATACATGCTGGCGAGGATGTGGAGAAACAGGAATCCTCTTGCACTGTTGGTGGGAATGCAAATTGGTGCAGCCACTCTGGAAAACAGTGTGGAGGTTCCTCAAAAAATTAAAAATAGACCTATCCTATGACCCAGCAACAGCACTGCTAGGAATTTACCCAAGGGATACAGGAGTACTGATGCATAGGGGCACTTGTACCCCAATGTTTATAGCAGCACTCTCAACAATAACCAAATTATGGAAAGAGCCTAAATGTCCATCCACTGATGAATGGATAAAAAAATTGTGGTTTATATACACAATGGAGTACTACGTGGCAATGAGAAAGAACGAAATATGGCCCTTTGTAGCAACGTGGATGGAACTGGAGAGTGTGATGCTAAGTGAAATAAGCCATACAGAGAAAGACAGATACCATATGGTTTCACTCTTATGTGGATCCTGAGAAACTTAACAGGAACCCATGGGGGAGGGGAAGGAAAAAAAAAAAAAAAACAGGTTAGAGTGGGAGAGAGCCAAAGCATAAGAGACTGTTGAGAACTGAGAGCAAACTGAGGGTTGATGGGGGGAGGGAGGGAGGAGAGGGTGGGTGATGGGTATTGAGGAGGGCACCTTTTGGGATGAGCACTGGGTGTTGTATGGAAACCAAATTGACAATAAATTTCATATATTAAAAAACAAAAAGCCAGAAGACAAAGCTGAAAATGAACGTAAATGCTAATTTACTACATGCTATAAAATAGTCTAAAAAGAGAAAAAAAAAGAAAAAGAAAAAGAAAAAGAAAAAGAAAAGAAAAGAAAAGAAAAGAAAAGAAAAGAA